GGGACGGGACTACGCGGCGTTTGAGAGTACTCCGAATGGGAGTTGTTACGTCGGCATGTTACTTTGCAACGTCGCTAACGAAAACTCCGGCCCCGCTCAGCTGATTTTAGGAGTCGAGATCAGTTACGAATGGAAGTACTTCTTTGCGCCGGAAACTTAAAGTTTCTGCCAATTAATTCAACTGTAATTACGATCGTGCCATTGAAAATAATTTTACGTTACACAAGAAACCATTTTTCTCTTTCAGTGAACGGCCGCTGGGCACTGTGGGAAGTATGGTCCACTTGTTCTAAGACGTGTGGGTATGGAACCAGAATTAGAAAGCGAACTTGTTCAAATCCCCCGCCTCAAAACGGAGGAAAGATGTGCACCGGACCGAGTCAACAGACTGGCAAATGCTATTTAACCAAGACATGTCCGAGTAAGCACCTTTTCATCACTAATCGCATGAACACATCGACGATCAAAGCAGGAAAGATTTGTGCATGAATAGACCTTTTGGGAAGGGGAAAGACGGTCACAGGGTACAAAATCCACCATTTTCTATTCAGAGGAAAACTATAGGGCAGCAGATTTCTTGTTCGTTTGCATAAATACGTAAAGAAACCGTTTATCCAAATTATTACTTTAGATATCTGTAAAACCATATATAGTGAATATAGTCAGTGCTACAAATCAAATGGTCTGTATTATTTGATGTTCATTGCATGTGCCCCAAAAGTAAGTCAATGTTTTTGTTGTCACAAAGCCAGTTCCATATCGGAGTTCTACGATTAGAGTGTTCGCAGTTTCCTCGAAGAAATTTTCAGGTGCTATTTGCTTCATGTTGATTTTCAGTGCTGAATTCGTTTTCAAGAAAACATGTTCATTTTCAGTAAACGGCCGCTGGTCGCCGTGGGGAAAGTGGTGCAAGTGCTCCAAGACGTGTGGGACCGGAATCCAGACTCGAAAACGAACCTGTTCCAATCCCTCGCCTCAGCACGGAGGAAAGCCATGCAAGGGAATCAGTGAACAGACAAAGTCTTGTCAATTAAAGCAGTGTCCTGGTTAGAATTTTTCACTTAATTACTTAAAGCTCTGACAGTTCAAGGTAGCGTTGAAATATCATTCACATAGTGTTCCGTTTACGTAGCTCTGGACGTGGACGATACTACTTTTTCAGTCAGTCAGATGCGATTATGACTTGACCTATGCGCGTTAACCCGTACTTGGCACTGGCTGTAGTTTCTGCTTGCCACACTACCACTACGCTATTACCATCGCTGTGAAAACTTCACTTTTGAGGAAATTCTCACTCTCTCAGTGCTTCATAATGTATAATAGTATTCTTTTTGCAAAATAACCTGTTTGATTATTGCTTCAGATAGTCCGGAACAGACAACTAATGTAATATTGCTCTAGTTGATAAAATGGACACCAGTGACTTCGGGACGGTCAAGTTATCTCTGACGCTCTTGTATTCCTTTGCTTCTTATTTCTCAGGTTACGGTGGTTGGGGTTCCTGGGGTCAATGGTCAGCATGCACCAAAACTTGTGGCACAGGAACACAGAACCGTAAGCGGACATGCCTAGGCTCCGGAAACGGAAATTGTCCAGGTTCAAATGAAGAGAGCCGCCACTGTAACACACAGAGTTGTCCTGGTAAGTCAAGATTTAAGTTTTCGCAAAGAGTGTGAAATCAGAAGTGACTACTGGCAATGTAAGGCTCGTCAAGGAAAGCCTTGCGTAAAAGATTAGAAGTAAATGAACAAGTTCCCAATTTCTCGTTCACAGTATTCCTTAAAGAACTGAGCAGCTTTGGTAGTCGAATTATGAATTAAAGATAACGAGAATCACGGAACACTCCCACTTTCTGTTCCTTTTGCAGTTGACGGTGGCTGGGGAGACTGGAGCGACTGGAGTGCATGCAGTGTGTCGTGTAGGCCTGGTACTAGCATCAGGAGCAGGCAATGCAATAATCCAGCCCCGAGTGCCGGCGGCAAACAGTGTACGGGACTTCCTGTGGGAAATAAGCCTTGCAATGAAGGACCCTGCCCTGGTAAGTATAAAGCAAACCCTACGATATTTCTTAAAGCTGTTGAAGTGTTGTAGAACAACTGCTGATGGGCAAACCAGCAATCCTCTAGTCTTAAGTGCCATGGACTAGAAAGTTGAAAATTGAAAAAGAAACGGTACATATTTTTGAGGTTTGACCGTGTTAAAGGTGGACTACTAAATGTACTTTCCGCCCTGCTAAATGAGTCGAAATGCTGTTGAAATAAAACGAAAATCCCTTGTAAAATATAATGTACAATTATCCAATTTCCAAATTCTGTTTTTCTCTGACATACGCAGGGAGAAACGTCAGATAAGCAACCACAAGCGGATGTTTCTCATCCCAACCATAAAAAATCTGATAAACAAACTTCGCTTACCGAACAACGACAAACTGTGTATGAAACCAGGCTCAATAAACACAATGGGAAGCATTTCTCACTTAATTCTCTTGACCCTCTCCTGGTCAGCTTTTCAAAATTGTCTGGAAAATCATAGCAAGTGTACAATATAAGGCATTATTATATGGCTAGCTCCGTGAGCGGGCCCGATTCCTACGCAATTATTGGCTACCTGAGCGGGAAAGATGGCGCTATCTTACCCGCTTGGGATTACCCGCAGTTTCCCGCATTAAAATCGTGTTCTTTTTCCATATAATAAATCCTTTTCGGTCAAGATGGCTGCATAGTAGCCTCGTTTTTTTTGTTTCATGTTTATAAACCTCGAATCCGTCTCGGTCCATAAACATGCAAAAAAAAGACCTTCCCGCTCGTAGGATTCGCCAACGTATTGAGTAGCTTTGGTAATCGAATAAAAGATAACAAAGATCAATCTCTGTTCCTTTTTTGCAGTCGACGGTGGCTGGGGAGACTGGAGCGACTGGAGCGCTTGCAGTGTGTCGTGTGGGCCTGGTACAAGCATCAGGAGCAGGCAATGCAATAACCCAGCCCCGAGTGCCGGCGGCAAACAGTGTACAGGACTTCCTGTTGGAAACAAGCCTTGCGATGAAGGACCCTGCCCTGGTGGGTATAGAGCTAACCTGACGATGTTTCTTAGAACAGTTGAAGGGTTGTAGAACAACTGCTTATGGGCAAATCAGCAGTCCTCTAGTCTTAAGTGCCATGACCAAGACAGTCCAAAAATTGAAGAAGAAACTGTACGCATTTTTAAGGTTTGACCTCGTTGAAGGTGGAGTACTTAACGTACTTGCTGCCCTGCTAAAAGCATCTATTAAAAAAGGACCTTCCCGCTCGTAGGATAGACCTTTCCCGCATTCCACTTCAGTGCGTACGAACAATAGCACCAGAGCGAGGTTGGGGTGGACATTTTCATACATTTACTGTGTTTTTGTCCATCCTGACCTCGACTTGGCGCTATTGTTTGTCGGCATGCGGGAAAGGTCTATTCGCTTCGTTCCTTTTTTGCAGTCGACGGTGGCTGGGGAGACTGGACCGACTGGAGCGCTTGCAGTGCATCGTGTGGGCCTGGTACAAGTATCAGGAGCAGGCAATGCAATAATCCGCCCCCAGGTCCCGGTGGCAAACAGTGTACGGGACTTCCTGTAGGGAACAGACCTTGTAATGAAGTAACGTGTCCTGGAAGTACGTATCAAACTATGTTCTAAGGTTCAATTTCTATTCTGGCTGTAAGCACAGAAGAAACTGAAAATTCTCATTTAGAAAAAAGTGACCTATCATGTGTTCATAATAAACCTCGAAAAACGATAACAAGAAAGGGTTAATTTACACGAATGTTCAACGCTGAAATACGAGCACACGTGTCCAGTTCTCGCTGGAATGACCATTGGGGACACAACCAGTTCCAGTTAGATCGAGAACATTGGACCGGTAATGTAGCAATCCGATTGGTTGATTTTAGCTGGATATTGACCCTCTGAACTAACTTAGTCGTGAAATAATAACTAGTATAGATAGTCCAATCAGATATCGTTAATATTTCCCTTAAAAGCGAGGTGATCGATTCTGACCGGTTGTCTCAGGTGGCGACTGCTGGGGTGATTGGAGCGACTGGAGCATGTGTACCAAAGCTTGTGACTGTGGCAAGACATACAGGGTCCGTTTCTGCAAATGCGCACATGGCCAGGGGCATGAAAAGTGCCAAGGGCCCGGAGAGAGCTCCCAGAGTTGTCACTGCAACCCCTGCCCCAATGGACCCCCTTCTGATGACATTGTCGAAGGTATAATAACATCACTTGGTTAGCACTTGATGGGCACGAGGTGCGGCACGTGGAGTCAGAAACCTTCGGCAATCATTGTTGAAGATGGCCTACTCTAGCAAAAGAATCTAAGTTCTTTCGAAGGCAGTTTTACGCTGGCTTAAAGACACGCTGTTTAGCAGTTTCTGCCGTTATCTGATAATGAAGTGAAATGCGGTCAAAATAATGGTTTCTGAAGACATAATTCTTATGTCTGTTGGGTTGATCGAGAGATTATGTTCAGGTGGTAATGTGTGGAAACCTGGCCTGCAATTCTCAGAAGTCTTCTTTGCTTGATATGTAGTAAATTTGATATTCAAAATTGCAAACCCAACTCGCCTAAATTAAAGCACGACCAGGCCCCTTTAAAGGACAATGAGGTACAATTTTGAGACCCGTTACCGAGTTACAGTGATAGATTCTTATCCTGTCAGGAACAATGGCGTCATCAGATAGCAGTTACCATTCTGATTCTAACATCACCTCTCTTTTCTTTCCTCTGTAGCTTAAAGCCGCGAAAAAAGACAACAGAGATGAACTTTCAGTTAGATCTTCTAAAGTTCTCTAATTAGTTTCTTATGTGCAAAACGTTTCTCACCTGTAAAACATTGCTTGGAATTTGACACTTAAGACATACATTCCATAAAAGTTCACTTTTCCTTTCCTGACCTTTACATCTTTCAAGTCACAGGATGAAAGATACGCCCACGGTGTGGTGGAGTGGTTTGCCATCTTAGCGAGCTTTCAAAAACACTAACGAAACAAATAAGCAATTTTGTACAGTAGTACCAAGGTAATAAAGTTCTACGTTTTAGCCGCCTGTTCCCTTGGTCTTGTTTGGGGAGCTCGCGAGTGTGACTCAAAGGTGAACCTGCTCATTGGTTAGTGGTTTTTACAAATTAATAGTGACTATACCATTAATGCCCGTCCACACTATGCCGGAGAAATTTGAAAACGTAGCTTTATTTCTCCGGTTAGGCCTACCGTCCACACTTATCCGTCACGAAAACGCAGCTTTTCGAAAACGATTTTTAAATCGTAAAAATTTGAAAACGCCGGCTTGTCGTTTTCGTGTGGACGCAAAACATTTTGGAAACGGAGCTTTTCGAAAACGATGTAGTCACGAAAGTTATGCAATTTCCTTGAACGAGTTTCCTTGAACACAAATCCAAAATGACCGGTGATTGTTGCGTTTTTAAATTCTTCCAGTGCAGTGTGGACGGAAACCATTTGGTGCGTTTTCAAAGGGAAACCCACGTTTTCAAATTCCTCCAGCGTAGTGTGGACACGGCCTAAGTAACCCTTCCAAAAGTGAGAGGAATACGTAAGTAGGTAATCATGATATTTTACTTTGGAAAAAGAAAATTACAACCCAACCTTAATAAATAAATTTTCCAATAAATCGTTTCAAGGTGGCTACTCGATCCCTATCAAACTTGACTTAATTTTGCGTGAAGTATTTGTAAATTGTTGGCTTAGAAAACAAATGAAGAGACAACAACAGGACAACAGAGACAATGAACCCAGCCCTTAAAACAATAGAGTTGGGTGAACCAGGGAGCGAATAAGATAACCGGCTCTGAAGTGGTGCGTGGCTTCAGGAAGTTTCTCAAATTAAAACCTCACTATTTAATCCTTACAAACACCATAACCAAATAAATCACAGCTGAACTTGACAGAATATTCGAAAGAACAAACAAAGCATGTATTACAACTGAGAGTCGGACTGCGTGTCTCAAATTTTCCCATTTCTAAGTAAACCTTTCGGGGCTAAAAATGGTTTCGTACCTAATCCTAGCCTTTTCCCTTGCCGTTCAGTTGTATTTTTCCCAAAGCAGCACAGAAGCAAATTCTCAATCATTTCAAAAGAGTCCGTGTTGGATGTGTAACGTGACACACTGTAAACAGTGCGTCGCAAGTCAGTGGACGCCGTGGAACCAATGCTCGGCTCCGTGCGGTAAAAATGGTTATCAATCGAGAACCAGGCTCGTACACCGGCCGTCATCTTGTGGCGAGGAGGGTTCATGCCGGGATCTCACAACAAAGGAGTGGCGACCCTGCAATAGGTTTTGTCACAATGGAGGGACGCCTGATCGATGGGCCTGCAAGTGTCCACTAAACTACACTGGCGACTGTTGTGAAACAGGTTTGTGTGCTAAAAGTGAAACACCATAAAATACCTAAACGTTCACCCGTCTACCAATACAAAACGCAGAGAATCTAGCTATTTCTAATTTGCAACCACAACAGTTGAACGCAGATAGACGTTGCGTTTCCTCAATAGAAGTTCCCAACAGTTCTCGGAAAAATATTGTTCAATTTGACATCCAACACAGTAAGTAAAAGGAAGTAAAAACATAATTAATTTCCCGCCAAAATAAATAAAAAAGCACAGCGATTTTATTATCTATTTTTTTCTCTTTCAGTTCGGAAAAGGAGAAAAAAAAGACTCAAACAGCTACCTTTTAATGTTGGTTGTGACAAATGTGTTCTGTCGTATATTTTCCTTCATTAACTGACTGGACTAATTTGAACTTGCTTTGTAGAATTTCGAAATTAATACAGTTGAAATGTGAAAATATGTCGTAATTACCCTGCTAAACAAACTTTGGATCAAAATCAAAATCAACACTAAAATTCAATATTGACATGTAATATGACAATAACACATAAGTTGTTTTTAAAGAAAACATAAAATTATATTTATTAAACCGAAACCTGAGCAACACACTCTTTGGCCTTACATGTAAAATTTACAACAAAAACCGAATAAACGGCTATAGTAAAGACACGCCTGATTTTCGTAAACGATATATTAGAAGAGAAAAGTTCATACTGGTTTTGATTTTTTCTCTTTAAGAGTGAAGAACTATCAAGCTGTTTTGATCGATCTTAGTTATTTCAGGAGTGAAATAGTCAGATATATAGAGAGAGCTTACATTATATCTAAGATGTGGAATATTTCAAAGAATTCCACTGTATAATTTTGAGATTCGCGGACGAAGATTTGACAAGGCTTTTCTCGACTAATGCAGGCTCGTTGATTGCTGACGAGGCCTATACGAGATTGGCAGGTCCTGCTCCAATGGCTGAAGGGAAGGCGTGGGAGGATGTGGGCGATGTTGGGTGCTTCCTGTTTTACGACGCTGTCTCCTCTAGGACATTGGCTCTGTGCTTGATCTCAAACTGAGGTGGCTTGGAAGACCGTTTAAACGTAAAATACAGGCAAAAAAAAAACACCACATAAACAGGGTGCTGAAAGAAATAGGGTAAAATTCCTCCGGGAAATCCATCAACTTTTCATTCGATCGCTCTTTAAAGATTTCTTAACCTCTTAGCCCGCTCAGTTTAATACATGTTTTCTTTGCAGCGTTTTTTGGATGGAGCATGTGGGGGGACTGGGGACAATGTAGCAAGTCCTGCAATTCCGGCACTCAAGAGCGCATGCGTATATGTATTGAGTCATCACCGTTCAATGCTTCCGTTTGTGACAAAGTGTGCAATGGGTCGAGTATTGAAACAAGAAAATGCAATACTTACCAATGTCCAGGTCAGTCGCTTGCAGGTATCTCTAACGTCATAATTATTTCTCTTTTTACGTGAGACGCGCATTCAAAAATTGACCCTTTAGGGTTGATGGTGTAATTTTCACAACGTCAATCCGGGTAAAAATCTTGAGACACATTACCGTTTCGCCAGCAAATGATAGTTGTCTTAACTCCCCTCCTCACCTCGCCAAATGCAAAGTTGATTTCTATGCATTGTTCAACAACAAAATAGAAACGTTGATTTTTTTTTTGAGGGGGGGGGGGGGGGGNTATGACTACTTTAAGTAGTAATAACTTTAAAAGCTGCTCAACAATATTTTAAGATTTGGGAGGTACACTATCTTTGTAATTGTTTGCTATCCACAGTTTGTTTGTTCATGATTTTTTTTTTGGGGGGGGGGGTTGTCTAAGCTCTGAAAGCAGCGAAGAGTCTTGACACCACTATCAGATGCACGCGGATGACGTAGGAATTCTTTCGCCTTAAACTGATTATTTAGTCGAATGTCAGTCTGGTACCCAGTCTTCGATCCTTACTACGCACATTTTACAAAACGTTACCTGCCGCTGCTCACTGCTGGAATGTTGGATTAGAGGTTCTTAATATAAAGTTGTTCACTTTTACATTATTTTTTTCTTTTTTCAGTCCAATACGATTCGCTCGGTTGTTTCAAAGATGGAACTCCCCGCGCTCTTCCCGAGCTGCTTGAAAGCTTCCGAAAAAATATCGATTGGATGAACATGGCAAAAATCGTTCAAGCGTGCGCGGAGGTGGCCCATGAGCGTGGTCGTCAAACGTTTGGACTGCAGTTTTACGGGGAGTGTTGGAGTGGAGTAAACGGCAGCAAGACGTACGATATGTACGGGCCTTCCAAAAACTGTTGGAGTGGGGTAGGAAAGGAAGGGAGCTATTACGTTTACAAAATTAAAGTGTAAATGTCGTTAGCCCAAATATAACAGGATGTAATGTAAGTTAACACTCACGTAGCCATAAGCACTGGAAGAATTGTTTCAAGTTAAAATAAGAATAAATATTGACTGAAAATCACGGAATTACACCATGTGTATTTAACTTTGAATCGTTCTTCACAAACTCTTTAATAATTCATCAAGTTTAAACAAAGAAAATCATGACTGTGACGGTGTTTAAGTATCTGATCTTAATTACCATAGATTTTACGATTTCATTTCTCCGTTTTCTTTTAAGTTTTAGTTTCGATTGAGAAGATATATCAAGCACTCAAGACAGTGTTTGACCAAATTTCCAAACACCTCGAAGTTCGTCAAAAATACTTCGCTGCGCGTCGTAATTTCAACCCTCTTCTCGGTGTTTGGAAATGTGGTTAAACACTGTCTTTCGTCTCTGATATAGTGCTCACAAAATGAAGGCTTACGATGGTGTAAGACACCATCATTTCTCGCAGCTGAATACGTGGACAAACAAACCTTGAACATATTGCGGTAAATATGATTCCCCCATGCCCATGGAAAATTTCAACCAACTACATGTAAGTAAACCTTGCCGCATTTCACTTTAGTTAGTACGAACCATGTTCATTTCTCCTTTGCCATTGACTAATTGTTATTTGTTATGTTAAACTGACAAGATACCACCCTGGCCATGCACAAGCTCCTAATAAACTTAACCAGAGGTTAGCCTGTGAAGGTTTTCACTCACCGTGCGTTTTAATCTACGCACCACTACAACGCTCTTACCTGTGTCTGAACACCGTGTCTAAAGGCGTGGTCAAAAGATTGCTAAAGCTAGGTAAAATCTTTACTAAAACAGAGTGGAGGATGGATTTCATTTACTCTCCAACAGCACACATAGAAGTTATCAAGTAAAACCTCTAGGAAGCGTTACCAAATTTAACTTTGTTTTACTAGGCAAAACATACGAATGGTGGACATGCTCACCCCAGGAAAGAAGTCTTGATTAAAAACCAAATACTTCCAAAGAAAATAAAGAAAAAGTATATAAGCATTAAGGAGAACTTCGACGCCGATCTGTAAAGATGATCGCATGCATTGGTAATGGAAGGATCTTTCTTAGTGGAAATCATTTGAGCCAATAGTTGCTGTCAGCGAAGTTGCTAAGCGACTCGTTGTATCCCTGACGTCGTGTTGATGTGAGAGCTTTCGGAGTGTTAATTCACGATTTTGATTGGATAATAAGAATTAGAAACCCTTTCATGGCTTCAACAAACATTAGCCAAAAAAGCCGTTGTTTTGCTGATAACACGTGTTTAAAAAAAACACGATGTTGAAACAAAACAAAACGCTACTCTTAATTTTTTTTTATTTAATCCACTGAGGTGATATTGATAACAAATCATTCTTATTATTATTATTCAAAATATCGTTATAAAAGTACACTGATTCATGCATAATTGCATCATGTTTGATGGAGTCTGCTCCCTGACTCGGGCATAAAATCAATATACGGATTCGGCTATCGTGTCTACATCCCTGTTGCTACCCAGTTCAGACAACGCGAGATTCATTTGGGAGGCTACAATTGTGCAATTTGTCACACGCAACTGATTGCATGGGAGTATGTGCAAACAGAACAATTGTAACTTTTCAAATTAATCATCACGTGATCCGAATAGGCCACGTTCAGTATATCAATATTCTACTATGGCTCTGAGGCTTTCGGGTGAAAACTGTAATTTTTTAAAGTTTCTTTTCTCTCTCAGTTCCCAAAAGAGACTTGGATACAAAGAAAATAAAACCAAATAGAAAAGTTTGTCCTGAAAGCCTCGGAGCCATGTAAGAATATTAATATGTGAAACGTGGCTTGTTGGGTGGCAACAAGGATCTAAACACGTTAGCCGAATCCGTCTAAAAAAGGGCTGCATTAATTCTACCGCGAACTAAGCAACTCCTAAACATATTTGACTTAATTTCTCTAAAAAACTTTAATGACAATATTTTCCAATAAATCTACTGTATTCGCTTCTTATAAAATAAAATCTCACTATATTTTTTTTGCTGCTGTGTGTAATTCAGGATAAGGGTGGTCTTTTGTGTATTAAATTGTTACGATGCCTAGCTCAGTTGGCTAGATTACAAAATGATTCTTCATAACAGCTTGGTATTAACTTTCCCTAATTTATACATCGATTTGGGAAGCACCATTACTGGAATAAAGAGAGAGAAAATGACATATTATTGAAAATCAACTTCATATTTGATTCATTCCCTTGCATTACTGCTCGCTTTTCCCCATCGTTTCATCTGATGACTGACAAAATTTATCAATTTTGAATAACAGGACAAGTAGATACCCTAATTACTGGATACTGTTCTTTAACGCATCCTGTTTGATCGAGAGAACCTTGAGATGGCAAAGCACTTCAGAGACAGACGGTTATAAACTGAGCAATTGCAGGCTCCTGTTTTACGAGTAGGGCTGGGCGAACGCAAAATGCAAAGCTCGGTCATTTTTACTTGGAAAAAAACAAGTCAAGTAATAGTCCCCATACTAGAAGGCGTGATTGATTCAAATTTTCTTTCAGACATATTTTCGATTTTAATAACATGCAATTTACCTGAAGACTACATCGACTCGTAGGCGTACGAAATATTTTCCCATGCCCAATAACCTAAACATGTCTTATCTTTTGACTCCTTATCATACCACTACCCTCCTATCTTAGTTAACAGTCACGTAAAATAACGTTTCCTAGCAACAACCAATGCCTATCTACCTTGAAACGAATCTCACTCAGTTCATGCCTCCACACTCTGCCGGTGAGCTGACGGAGACTGCATTTCCTGGGCCTTGGGCGAGTCATGGAGTACACTGTGGATGCGCTCCTCTATTTGGAATCCCATGAGGTCTTTGCGGGTAATAATGCCCTTGACCCTACGTTGGAGCAAGGGAGTGATTACAGAGAGCGATACACAAGATTTTTGACTGATTTCTGATGAATGTTTGTTGGCTTTTCAAGACATGCACGTGCAATTCATCGACGTATGGCTGTGCCACTCGGACTAACTTAGAGTTCGAATGCTCGTGCAACAGGAAAACCAACCATAACATGGCGGAATATGGTTTCCTTAGATATGTACAAGAAGTGGAAGCAGTGTAGGCTCCTTTGCAGCTGTTACGATGGAGACTGGCAGAAATAGAGACAAAGAAGTGCACTTCGCATGCAATGCAAGTGACAACGGTTGGGTGGTTAGAGAAACTTGTGCTTAACACTATGCGGGTCATTGACACAAACCTGTTTTTCTTGTCCACTACAGTCAAATGCCTGTCAAAACAGGACAAGATGATACCGGTTAGGACAACCTTACAAACAGCAACTGAGAACTAAGGTTCTAAGTTATTCCTTCTCCTAACCAGGTAAAGCGTTGAAAATCAACAGAGTGAAATGATATGACAGGTAATAACTCCAGATATTTCTGGTGATATCGACATTATCACTATAGATAACAGTCAGTACAACGTGCGCTATTTCCTTTCCCGCTTTTTCTCTACGATATCATTCAGTTGTAAATGAAGTACCTCAGTCCTAGTGTCCTGAATATAATGTAGGTTCGGTGAAGAGAGAACGTCTCTTGAACTGTAGGAGCCGAGTGGTTCACATAAGGAGACTGGAAATAATGTAAACAAACACTCGTCACAAATAAAATTACAACAATGTTCATTATAGAGAGGAGAGGGAGGGAGAGCAACTATTAACGTTTCATCATCTTAAAATAAACTAACAGAGCACCTCATTTCGGAACATTCCTCTGTACAAGCAAAGTAAAAGCCTAGTTTACGTTTTGGAGGAATGATCTCTAGTTATTAACGAAAATTACAACGTATCAGTAATCCTCAGCAAAGGGCGTCCAATCAAAGCAATCAACGTAATGAACCAATCGGAACTTGATGCAATAGTAGCCAAGCGCGCGTAAAGATACAGCAAGTGCCAAAGGGCGGAAAAACAAGCGTAAGTGAAGTCACATTTAGTTTTGATTGTTCCTCATTGGTTAAAGAAACTGCATGTTTGCTTTAATTGGCTACAACCAGCTGTACAATCTTCTTTCAGCCAAGCACAGATCTCACCGAGGAGAACTAAGAAGTTCGTGACACAAGGGCTCAAGCTGAATCTGTAGGATGCGTTACGTACCAGATCAATGTACATCTCCTGGTAACGCGAATCTGCTGCATAACGCTCCAGCTGAGCGTTAAGTCGCTCCGCATCACGGACGTACCCTTGGTGCATCTACAACAACAACAACAAATCTAAAATTAACTGGAACAAGGTCACGTGAGCAACTCAAAAAGAAAAAAATTATGTAAGAATTTTCCAAAATATCTCTTTCACGTAGTATTCTCGGAGGCTTGGGAAAAGGGTGTTAACCATGATAACAGTTACTACTGACCGAAAGTGCATATCCTCAATCAGAGGACTGAAAAAACAAAAAAACTTTTAGAATGGTTTGGATGGTTTTCTTTTCTTTTTAAGGTCAAACGACGCAATTGTGAAGTAATAGCGTTGAATATTTCCCGAAGTCACTTTCTTCACAAATCACAATTATAGCATGTTACTTGTTAGTTATCGCTAACCTGGTAGTAATCCAGCCTGTTCACATCCAGTTCTTCCTCGTGAAGTGAGAGATTCTCACGAGAGGAAAAGATGTCTTCACGAGACAAAAGCACCATCATGTCATTTCTTAAAGACAAGAATTGAAATTGAAGAGTTGTCAGCCGAAAGTTGCTGATAAACCCCTCAACAGGGGATCGCCGTTGGGAATCTGGATAGGGGGATGGTAATTAAAAGGGGGGTCCCAAATATTATTATTTTGCAGTAGAAACAGCACAAAGAAGCGGGAGTCACAAAGAAAGGGATTGAAACTGGAGCAACGGAAAGCGGGAAGTTTGGACCCTCCTGCCCCCTTCCCCCTTCCCCCTCCCCCTTAAAACATTAATCTAGACTCGCTCTGCAGTCTCACTTGCATGCAACCTCGAATCCAATCTTTGTTCAAGGGCCCATGGGTTACGAGATTAACTTGAAAAGTTATATAATGTGCTAGTTCGTGAGCACACACATACTCACGTGTTATTTTGAGTGGGCGTGCTCAAACAACTAAAAGGATCGGGTCACTGATATCGCGTGCCGTGCTGACAGATTCGCGGTGACTCAAAACCTAAAGAACACATTTTCTATGACAGAAACCTAGTGTTCTAGATAAGTGAGGTGTCTCAGGTCAAAAACTCGAAAGGATCAGCTACTCAGTTGACCCGACAACTGAACTGAATTTTTTTTTTTTAATGATTTAGCGGGAGCGGTGGGAATTGACCTGTTAGAATTCCTTATCGACACCCTGCCTTGAAAACGTATCTGGAACCCTGAAATTTAAATATAATGTTTTAGGTTTGATACAGTGCATTGCAAATGTAAAGAAAGTGTTATAACTGATGAGTTACGCACGTACAAGGTGGTGATGACAGACCTTTTCAAGTAATCTGTAGTTGTGTCTCGGCCAAAATCGTTCTAAACGTTTTTTATTACAAGTTGTTCTCCCTTCAGCAGTTCACTTAATATCCTGTGTGTTCTAGGAGCATTTTGTTTACTAGTGAAGGTAGTCATAATTTTAGCACTGTTTCCTGTTTTGACCAAAACTGCAGCAAAATCGCCTTGGCGGTGTCTCTTTGAACACTGTTTCTTTTTGCATAGAATTTCACAAAAACAAAAAAAACAACAACACACAACATGGATGGCTATTGAGGTAAGGCGGAGCTCTACCTGAATTTAACTGAAATTTTAGGAAGTTTAAAGAGGGACTAATAGGGAAAAAAGGGTTATGGAGCACCACCAGACAGTTCAACGCCCCCCGGAAGGGCAGAAAGGGCACCCCAGGTTGGTGGACAACTGTTTGGTGTACGTCTACCAATTTTAAACTTTATATTCTAATTTTAAATCAACACTAAATCTTCAAAATTTCCTATTTCCATAAATTTTACTAACCCTTTGAGAAAAACTATTTATCTCCAAATGGTTAAATATACCCAGAAATCACCAAAACATTTACAAAAGAGCCCAAAACATAGATATGTGGGATGAGTAGAGAGATTCTTGACTGCTTGAAACGTGAACGAGATATTTGGGTTAAAACCATAATACCCAGCCAAAATACGGCCTTCATGTATAGACCCCCGCGTAAGTTCAGTAACATGAACAGTTCATATCGGGGTATTTAAATAAAATTTCACGTTACGTAACTCAACATGTTTTCATTCAGGTCAGAGAGTAGACATGGCTTGGCAGGATTGACCCGTTACTATATGCCTTTCCTTCCCTGATTTGGTTATCGACGGATAAAGATAGGGTTCTACCACCTAGCTCTCTGTATAACCCGTTCGAAAACTACGGGTTAACATTACCACTCACAGACGATTTAAGTCACGCCAAGGTAACATTTGTCAGTCATGCTGAGCGAAGGAAGAACGAAGAAAAAGCGGGACTGTTGCCGAGCGAGGACGAAGATATGTTTGTTAGTTACATCAGGAATATTTCTTCTTGTACTCGGCACCGTGTGTTTCACCCAAGCAAACAAATGGATACAATCGATTATAAACTCGCAGCTTGTTATAAAACCGAGCTCTGCTCTGTATGAGCAATGGAGGTCACCTACTGTGCCTGTTCGGATGCAGTTCTACATGTTCAATGTAGAGAATCCACTGGAGGTAAAACAGGGAGGCCACCCTTATGTCAGTCAGAAAGGACCCTACTGCTACAGGGTTCATCAGACCAAGAAGAACATCACTTGGAACAACAATTACACGGTTTCGTACAACAAGTTTACCAAGTATGTCTTTGATACCGATTGCTCCTGTTCCTCGTGTGATCCGTACACAAATACAGTCACACTGCCTAATGTACCGCTGGTTATTCTATCAGAAGTTTCCAAAACCTATCCTGGATCATCGATGATATTTAGCATCATTTTCGAACGTTTCAAGGAAGAGTTCTTTAAGATAACTACTGTTGACGAGTTACTGTGGGGATACCAAGACCCCGTGTTCGAGTTTTTTGCCGAGATCAAGCGCAAGTATCACTTATCTTTTCTTCCAGATATCGACCCTATTTTCCGGATGATGGATAACAACAGTCTAGATGGCGTCGTGACTACTTACACTGGGGCATCAGACATCAGCCGAGCTGCAGTCTGGACCGAGTGGAAGGGAAAACCCAATGTAGGTTTATGGAACTCATCCTGGGCAAACATGCTCAACGGAAGCGACGGTATGCAATTTCCTCCTCAAACCAGCACCGATGATACGCTGTACGCGTTTTATGTGCAGCTGTGTAAGTCCATGCGCTTTGTATATGGTTCGCAAACAACTGTTCACGGCGTGGACACGTTGAGGTTTACATACCCCGAAGAGTTGTGGCAAAACGCAAGTGTTAACCCTGCAAACAGAGGCTTTTGTCCTAATGGGTGTTTTCCAAGCGGGATACTTGATGCAAGCGTTTGTAAAGACACTCCTGTTGCAGTGCCAGCGATAGTTGCCTCTGAACCCCATTTCTATCAAGGTGATCCATCTCTGGTCAGTAATGTAGGAGGCTTAGACCCAATAAAGGAAGAACATGGCACCTTTTTCGACATTGAACCGCACTTTGGTCTCCCTCTTCATTTAAGTTTACGGCTTCAACTAAACGTGAATATTAAACCTACAAAATATATTCTACAAATGGCAGGCGTCAAAGAGGTGATACTGCCCATCGTGTACTTAAACAACAGCGTGTCAGTGGATGCGTCAACAGCCAACACTATGAAACAAGTCTTGACTGCCATGAAAGCTGTTCCTTGGGTCTCGGGAACGTTGATTTGTATCGGGACTATTGAACTTGTGATCGCCTTTTGCTGGATCTTAAAGCGACTAAAAGAAAGATCGCACGTTAACGATGAGAGGACACCACTGATTGCAAATGGGGAATCCACTAGAACGTAATTTACTTTAATTTTTAGCATGCTTAGATAGTTTCTTTATATAATTAATTTTGTATCGTGGAGGTAACGCGCGCACAAAATATAGCTGAATATATAATCAATCTCCGCTTTATATATATTTGCTATATTCCACTTCTTCTTATGACCAATGAGACTCGATGTGCTGATAGAACGGCTTATCAATCTCTCAGTTTAAACCTCGGTTTCATTCTTCATCGATTTTATTCCAAAACACCTACTTTGATCATAAAAAATTTCACTCACAAAGTCACGAACGTTGTCGCGTTATCGTGCCTAGCCCTGATAAAAACGTTTTTTTTCTTTTTTTCATTGCTCGTAGATAGGAGAACGCGGTTTTGTTACAAGCTGCGAGTTGATAATCGACTGACCGAGTACAAGCCGGCAGAAATATTCCTGATACCAGCGTAAAACACATCTTTTTCCTCGCTGTAGGGCAGCCGAAATTTTCCATGCCCCTCCAATGGCGCGCCAATTTCAAGTGTTGACCAGAATTTGTACGCCCACTCATGCATATTTGTGGTTTCAGCTTACACTGCAGAGGTTACACGGCGAGCAGATCTCTAAATTAGCTCGTGTTTTAGTCGCACAGGAATGATTGGCAATTCGGGTATGACAAAAGGAAAGCCAACTGGATGACACTGCAGTGTCGGGAGCATCGGAAAAGTGTAATTCCTCCCCCCGGGGGGGGGGGGGAAACAACAAGTAAGAGGTAGACAATCAATTTGAGTTAACGTATATCCACACGTAATATAAATTACATAACTGTGTGTCAGGGAATATTGCCCGGCCTTGCTTTTGTTTAATTGAATAATAACTTTTTCTTGGCAAAGAGTATAGACACTTCAGTGTTTATTTGCTTGAGAGAATAGTTTGCGTGATCCAGTTTTTTTTTTTGAATTAAAATTCTCGGCATTTGTTCAAAATACGGCCTAGCTAATGCTTTACATGATCTTGATGAAGATCTGACAGTTTGCATCGAGTGATTGCTCACTCAAACACATAGTAAATAAAAAGATGATGTTGCACTACTGAATTAAAACTTTTTCCACTTCAGGGAGTTAAACATGGTTTAAAGATATTTGTCTCAACTTCAGCTTAATATACGTTTTTCAGATGAATAACCAGGGCTATTAATTTTACTGGTACAGCAATTAGTTACGATATCAGTTTATCCCGCGCTTGGGCAAATTTCAGAGAGTTTATATGGGGCTTCATCGCATGCTTCTCGAAAGAAATTCAGTTCGTTCATCATTCCTTCGCAGAAAATCTCAAGAGCAATGCCCTCATCAAATGCGGTGACATTTTCGTCAACGAACCTCTCCGTTGAGCTTTGTGTTCCCGGTGCACGCAGGTTCTTCACAAACCAGTCTTCATAATACGGGTTTTTCTTGTCAACTGTTTTGATGAGGTTGTCAGCCATCCACGGCCAGAGCATGGTGCATGGTAACATGGCTACTGGTAGATATCTGGGATGTTGTTTNTGTCAGTTAAGCCATGCATTCATAATCTAATTCCCCCCCCCGGGGGGGGGGGGGGACTCCCATATAAAAAGGATGGGGGATGCTCGTCGTACCTTTGAGGAGTTAAAAAGCGGTTTTGGTCCCTTTTTAATAGGGTGTTCAGCCTCAAAAGCTCCACAGCGAGAGCTTTTGCGTCACCTTTTAGGGCACTGAGCTGAAAAAAAATATGACAGGAGATAATGTGTTGTTTTAGAATTGGTACCTCTTAGGGGTGAAAAAAAATTTCAAGCCACGCCCACAAAACATGATCTTAGAGCTTCTTAGGTTTTTTTTTCAAAATTTCCCACGGGCACCCCCGTCCTTTTGACACGGGAGTCCCCCTTGGAATTTTCTCCATCGCCCTAGATCGCGTTTGTAACAACCTGGACCTTTACAGTTGCACAGGCGATACGTCAGTTCCACATTATGCTTCATTATGCCGTAATTATTACCTTTTTATTTAGAAAAGCGTTTGAATAGCTCTTGATGTTTTATATACATTTTTACTAGATCCCTTGTTTTTAATATTTTAATTTTTAGCTCGTTACCTTA